AGAAAATGAATGTCTGTATCATAGAGTGTGATACTCATTTGTTTTTAGATTCTTGGCAGACTATGACACTGTTCCAAAGGTGTTTGGAGTTTTATTTTGTTCTTCTCCTCCTGTAATATTGTTTTGGGGCATTTTGGAGTGGATTTCTGTTTTTATTTGTATTCTGAAAAAATTGATTTTAAGTTATGTTTGGCTCGAAAGTGTATAAAATAGGAGTAGGACAATAATAAAAAGCAAACTAGGCTGGAACAGGAATAGTCTTATTATTTTGTTATTTGGTTATTCTAAATCCAATTTCCTGTTATCACCTATTCAATTATTTGGTTGAGAGACTAGTTATTGAGAAAAATGTTGGTCAATGCCATAAAAACCAAAAAATCCTTACTCTAAAAGAAATAGTAATTCACTTTTACTTTCAAAAAAAAAAAAAGAAGAAATAATAATTCATTTCTCAGCGAAATAACTTGTTAGGTACTACAATTTTAAAGCTCGAGGTATAATAAAACTAATTCTATCAAATCATGTGTGTGTCTGTATATGTTTGTGTCTGTATACACCGACATGTGTGTATGTCTGTCTCTTTCTCGACATGTATTATGTACAGAAACACATATATGTATGTATATATCTGTATACACCCACATGTGTGTATGTCTGTCTCTTTCTCGACATGTATTATGTACAGAAACACATATATGTATGTATATATCTGTATACACCCACATGTGTGTATGTCTGTCTCTTTCTCGACATGTATTATGTACAGAAACACATATATGTATGTATATATGCATGTTCCTTGGTTTGGGTTGCTTGAACTGAAGGATACCTTATACTCTCCTCTTTCTTGTTAATGAAGTTTCTAAAAAACATTATGCAACATATTATATATATGTTTGTCTATATATTATATGTTTACCTATGTACTAGAAAACTGTGCAAGTCTCTCTATGAATTCATTAGAATATATCTATGTATCTCCTTTACATATGAATTTGTTTGCATGCACACAAAAATGTACATACATGCAGGGATTTGCAAACATATATGTATATATACAAAGATACATATATGTAAAATAAATTCAGTTAACGCAGAAACTGTACATCTATGCATCTGTGTAAATGTATGGATCTCTGGGCTACAGGCTAATGCACTTTTGCTTTAGTTTCTGTATGCTATACTATAGGCTTTTTTTGTTTTTTTGAATCTTCTAATTGAAGGTTCGAGGAGGATATCTTATTCTCCATATGATTATTTCTTATCTTCTTAATAATGTCTCTTTTTCTATTAAAAAATATATGCATGTCTATGTGGATGAATAAATATGTGTACATATGTACAAGTGTACAAGGGTGTATCACATGTCTCTCTCAGTCTCTCTTAGTCTCTCTTAGTCTCTCTTAGTCTATTATATATATATATTTATGTTTATATGTTTGTATATTCTTTTATGTATATATCTATTTATGTCAATATATGTATATATCTATTTATGTCAATATATGTATATATCTATTTATGTCAATATATATATATATGCATCTATATGCATAAATAACATATAACTACTCATATCTATGTTGATGTGTCATGTATATGTCTATACTGAAGATAAGAGAATAAGCAAATTGAAAATAAATAAAATTGTAATTTATATGGTTTTTTTAAAAAATTTATCACGTAACCCATTCATTTCTAGTTAGATTTTTGCTCATGCACAGGTAGATCAGAAATGTCCAATGAGCTCATTGTAGCGATGAACTTAATTTCATGAACCAAACATGAGAATTATGATCCAGTTCCACATTCATGAAGGTTAAGGACTAAATGATACAGGAATGTAAATTGAATTTAGTTCAACATACCCTAGCCTAGAAATGACTTGTGATGGAATCTCTTCAAGAGAATCGTAGGTCATTTATCTGTTATTAAGTAATGGAGGATAAAATAACTAAAAACGACAGACATTAATTAACTGAAAGGAATCACTGAATGCAGCATAGTATAAACTATTGATGGGCTTAGTATGCCTGATGTGGGTCAAAATATTGTAGTTCAAGGTCTCAGTCTGTGTTGGCCCATGTTATGTGTGGGTGAACTTATTTACCATGAACAATATTGTACAACTAAACTACATTCTTTTTCATTATCAAAAACAAATGCCAAACACGAGAGCACTTTGATGAAAGGATGTCTATCCTTATCATTCTATGAGCCATTAGCCATTGCCTAATTCATCAACCGCTGAAAATTATAGTAATAACCAAAACCATTAATTGTAAAGAGATCATGATAATAGGTATGATAAAGGAGGATATAGTAGTAATAAATAATATGATTGAGGATATGAAGGTTTAGAAGTATGCTTGGACGCAGTAAAGATGCTATGCATCCTTCAAAACTTTGTCAATGTGGAGAGTAGGTAACTCTGAACGCATGATTACCACAATACTTATGATTAGAAATTTGATGAACTAAATCATTCAAACATGTTATGTTTGGAAAAATAACTTCAACATAATGCTCCTCTGCTCTGATTAAAGGTTTAACGTTACGGAAAGGATGGAATGAACTGTTGGTTCATCAAATCCTTAGAAGTCACATGTTTTGTTGCTCAGGCAGTGTTTGGGGTTCAACTTTTCCCTGGAAATGTTGCGTTTAGACCTCCTGAAAAGATCTTAGGCTTGAATATTGTTGCTAAAAATAATCTCTTTAATTTTTTAGTTTGTATTTCCACTTCTTAGAGTTGGCATGTAAAATATCCATTAGGATTTGACAGCTGTATGTTCTTCAGTGGTCCAGAGTGAGCCTGGTGCTTCACCTATCAGTGCTCCCGCCTTGTCAGCTACACAGCCAAAACTTGTACAAGCAAGGCAAGCCACCAGTGGGTCATCTAGAGAAGATTCAGATGAGGATGAGATTGAAGGAGATATGGGAACTACAGAAAATACAGATCCTGCTGATGTCAAACGTGCAAGAAGGTAAGCAAAGTCCCTATTTTGGTTTCTTATTATGACATTTGGGTTTAGTGTTTCCTATAGCAATGTTCCTTGTCATCTTTTCACTTTGTTTCCATTAGTAGCTCCTCACAAATAATAGCCACTCTACGATCAATTTCTTATATGACAAACAACTTTCTCAAAAAGAGGTCACTAACCTGATAATTTAGTTAAAACAAGATAAACACCACCCTGTAATTCAAATGCTCCTTGGGAAACCATCTTCTCCGATCTAAATAACTGAAGAATTAAGCAAGGATCAATTTTTTTTCAAGTTGATGTATGTGTTTGAGAATAAGAGTTAGGCATGAGATAGTCATCTGCCACATGCAAGTTTCATTCCAAATGGTGCCTTTTATAACTTGATATGTTTATGATGGCTCAGGATGCTGTCAAATCGCGAGTCAGCTAGGCGCTCTAGAAGAAGAAAACAAGAACATATCAATGAACTTGAAACACAGGTCATACACTCTGGTACACTCTTGTGGTTCTTTTTCTTATGTTCCTCGAGGAATTAATGAACCAGTTTTGTTTTTTATAGGTTGGTCAACTAAGAGTTGAACATTCGTCCTTACTGAAACGTCTCAGTGACATGAATCATAAGTATGATGAAGCTGCCGTTGACAACAGAATTCTGAAAGCCGACATCGAGACATTGAGAGCAAAGGTAGCTACTACTATGTTGTGTTTGCTCATTTTGTGGATGTTATTCCACAGGTTCTATTGCAATTTGACAATTTTCTGTGTAGCGTTCTTTCTTACAAAAAAAAAAAGATATTGTAATAGTGTGAAAATGGAGTCTGAAAGAACCTACTGTATGTCAAACTGTGAAAGTCCATTGGTATAGATGTCTTTACGAGTTGATTAGCTGATCATGGAAAACTTCATAACTTGCAAAATGGGCTGGGTCTGATGCCCGCCCTTCCATTTTCCTAATTGTTAATCTTCGGCTTAGATTGAGCCTTGAGCAATTCTTATGCTGAATCTCAATTGATAGATGTAACATCCCAAAAATTATGCCTATTGTGCTAATGTTCATCGATTAGGGTCTTTTTTATTGATTGCATTATCTGGAAGGTCTCTATCACCAGTACTATGATTTTATGCGGTTAAACATTACTTGTTTACTCCATTCCACTATTGTGCATACATAAAATAGATTCTAGCATGTGATGCTGTCTTATTGTCTTCTCAAAAAAGAAAAAAAAAAAAGTGGCACTGCTGTATTTAAGTTGCCTAGTTTGATATCATTGTTCATATCAGCAGCTGCAATGTATTGCCGAGGATGAAAATGCATATGCCTGGAAACTCTGAAATGATTGGTCAGAATTACATGTTCTCGTTCTCTTTTCTATGGGAAGGAATTATTTATCTGCTACACGTTGTGCAGGTGAAAATGGCTGAAGAAACAGTGAAGAGGGTGACAGGGATAAACCCACTTTTTCTAGCTAAATCCAATATACCTAGTGCCGCGATGCCATTTGTCAGCAACCCAATGGATACATCGTTAGTCGGTGCTGTAGCAAGGCAACCAAACCCTAATCAATTTCTAAACCAACCAGTTCCTAGCATAGCTGCTGGTACCATACCACATCAGAGATTAGACAACAGCTTTACTGGCAGTGCCCTTGTTGCTCCCGGAGTAAATCCACAAAGTGATTTTAGAGGAAACAACATAACTGAAACAGCTCCGTTCCGGCTGGCAGCTGCAGCAGGGCCCATGCAAAAGCAGATTGGTCCCAGTGCCAGTGGTGTGCAAAAGCATGTCTGTCCTGGTGTCAATCCTGCAGAAGCAATGGCTGGTTGGAATTCTGGACTTCCTCATGCAGCCACAAAGAATAACCAGAAATGTTGAATGCAATGCTCCTTCCCCCCATCATTGTTAGTTGAGTTGGGGAGTCAAATACATACTGCTGTAGAAATGTTGGTTAAAATTTTATTGAGGAGTTTTCAGTTTAACTGCATCCTTGAATTTATATTTCCAAATTTGGTTCCGTCAGTTTTCAATTATTAAATGTCGGCCCTGTTCGATATTGAATTACATCTCAACTCACCGTCCTCAACTGCCTCACCGCAAAATTTCTATCTGCATTTTTTAGATGCTAACAGGTTGTTCAATGGAAGACGAAGCCAAGCCATTTCACATTTTCGTCTAAATGGTTATAAGCTTTTTGAAGAACAACCAAGAAAATCATTTCGAAGAATAACTTGTTATTCAAGATAACTAGTGCTCGGAATATCTCTATAAAAATAATCTTTTTGCTGAACAAGTGGGTATAGGTTTTAAACCTGATTCTTCGGATTAAAAAATTGTAGATATATCTAATGATTATAGAATTAAACAATTCTTTTAAATAATTTATAAATTCCTTATTACTATTTTTTAGTAAAAATTGTAGTTTGCAATTCATTTTCATGCACTAAGATTTTTTTTTTTAATTATAATCTTAAATATTATAGATACATTAAAAATCTTACTTTCAAATTTGCTACTTACATGAACTACGCCTAAAAATGCGATAGGTAAAAAATGGAGAAAGACAAAATGTAGAAGAAACATGTATAAATACTTGATTAAGCTTGTAAACACGGATGCAATCACAATTGCGATTGAAAATCTCTTAAGAGTCCCTTCGTTTCTGTGTAGTCCCCTCCCCTCTCTCACTCTCTATTCTTCTTACCCTTTCTTTATCTCCTCATAGTTTCCTTCATTCTAACCCTAACTTGTGTTCCAAGTTTCGCACACTTCAAAAAGTAAGAACATATATTCATATTTTTTTGTAAGAACTAATATTATTGTTCTAAGTTTCACACACTTCAAAAAATAACTAACATATATTCATATTTTTTGTAAGAACTAATATTATAGAAAAAACTTTTCAGAACTAACAAAAAATACTATTTTTAAGTAACAAATGAAATATTTAAACGATCAACTTATATTTTTTTTTTAAAAAAAAAAACTGAACTAAAACTAAAATATTTGAATCAAATTATATATTTGTTGGATTGAAATAAAAAAACTAAATAGAGTTATACCCTCATTCTATTTCACAAGTATTTAGATGGTAGAGAAAATTATATTTTGTTCCACAAAAACTATATTATTATACAGAAATTATCTTACTTCTTAATACTAAATAGAGGATACTAGTGCATTTTCTTTTTTTTATTAGATCTTGAGAAAATGGAAGTACATAAGCTACAAAGAAGACGAAAGCCTGATAATCTAACTTAAGCATAACCGATCGAACAAGGATTGAAGAATGCTGACTCTTTCGCTGCAGAAAGAGGGTCGGAGAAAGTTGAAAAATATGTTTTCATTTTCATCGAGAGAGCTAGGAGATGGGCTTTGGGAAGGTTATTGTCATGACTAGCTGTGGAGACTGGTTGTGTTTCCAAGAGGAAAAGTCAAATTCATGGATAGGAGAAATTGAGCCACTACGCACATTTGGCAAGTCCCCATGTCGAAGCTAGAAAAAGAGAGGTTTAAAGTAGATGGTTAGAACGATAAGCTAGTAAGCCTGCTAGGCACCAGTAGGTTTTTTGTAAGTCTGTTTAATAGTTTGAAGGGAATAATAGGATTGAACAGGCATCCGGTTGACAACACAAGAAATGGTTTCTAACAACTTCTAGCTGTTCATCTGACTAATAATTGAACCCAAAAAGCTATACATTCAATTCAAAAAAGTTACGAAAAAATTGAACCCAAAAAATTCCATCAAATGGCATGCTTCAAATCATTAATTGTTTAACTAGAAAACTCGCGGAGAATAATTTGGATCGATAAATGTGATCCTCACTATTTTCAGATATACTGAATAATGATATAGCTAAACTATAAAAATACCCTTCGAGAAGCAAATGGCGATTTTATCATAAAAATTTACAACATATTCCGCTAGATCTTCTACTGCTGAATTTTGGCCATCGACTGAAGACCTGACTGGACTTTGCTCTGAAAATGGGCTTCCAGCCTGCAAGTTAATTCCTAAGTGGACAAACTGGGAGAGAATACAGAAAAGCGGCGAAGTGGAAGAAATCATCATACCTGGTTGCGCATTTATAATATATAGTATCAGGAGAGTTGTATGTACGGGCATTGGCAAACATCCTCTTGACATCCGCAAGAAACATTTCAAGTGTCACATAATATTGCTCTGATTCGACCCTCTTTGACATTGTCTTCAGATCTGTGCAATAGCAACCATCACAGCACCACGAATTAAGTTTCATTAAGAGATTCACAAAATAACATAATGAACAAGAATGGGCAATGTAGTTTAACATATATAGCCTCAGAATTGTCTTTTAACCTTGCCGTAGAAGAGGGGCTAAATTTAACTTCAAACCTTATAAAACTCTTGCTTACTTCAAAAAACAAAACAAAATAAACATTATAGTATCTGAGACATCAGTACAGCTCCATCGTACTCGGCAAATATAAATTTAAAAATTCCACAATACCCAGGCACAATGCAGAATCATTTTTTATTTGAAAGAAAAAGTATAATATTAATATTAGGGAACACCAAGGGTGCAACCTGTATAAAAAAATGTTTGTACATCTGACAAATAGCAAAAGCTCCCCTAAATCCTCATAAAAATAAAGAGGATGACCCTTAACCAAAACACAATGTGCAATCATTAATGAAACTATGAAAACCACAAAGCATCTTCAAACTTAATAATTCAACAATTTTTTTAAAAAAAGAATCAAGTCCTCCTCTACAATTCTTGAATAGATATGAGACCGAGCATTCCCCTTTAACCACATCCTCGCAGTTCACGTAATCTTCATTCCACAAGAACACCACCAGCCAAACCCTTAGCAGAAATGGCATGCTATCCCAAATTTTTGATGCCCCAAAACCCTTCAAACCACTTTCTCAGTGTAATTATCAATTTTGGTTTCCTGCAAACAGACGACTGAAGGATTCCATTTTCGAAAGCAGCCTCTGAGGACAAGTCTTTTACATTGGTTGTTTATACTCCTAACATTCCAAGATACAAGCTTTCCAATCATTGACGTAACAGATTCAATTCCTCATCCATCCTAACCTCTTTCCTTTTACCATCATAGTTAATTGAGGATTCCAATCACTTTAACCTTCTTGGGATATAGCCGCTCTGTTTTTTCTTCTCCTTTAAGCTAGATTCTCCCTTTTTATTGCCATCATTTTCCTTTTTTCCACTTCAGAGTAAAATAGCAAGGAGATGGGTTCCATACATTCAAGGGAAACTACCATTGCTTTACTAAACTGGTCAATGTTCTGCATTACCCATATCAAACAGCCCTCTTCAACTCCATCCACCACATTTATCCCTTCTAGGTTTAATTTCAGAATCTCTTCAATTTCTGCATTAGGAACCGTTGCTAATGCCTGACCTTCCTCTTCAACCAGCACCATCTGCATATTCTTATCCAGAAAATCATCATGAAGGGGATCCGACAAGGGGAAATCATCAAAACTTACCTCTTCTTTCAATGAGGTCACTGACCGAAATTCTTCATCTTTGCACTCCTCTGGTCTCCCATTACCGATCTCGCTATCAGACTCACCCGCATTTTCAGCCTTCTCTGTCTGATCGCAGATGATCAAACCGCCAGCAAATCGTTCGGGACAAACAGACGCGTCGAAGGCTTCTTTTGTGCCTGAGGGTTCACCTTGGGTCGGGTTAAAAGCGCCCAGCCCCTGACCACTAGGTGAACCCCGCCCCAAAACTTCTTCCTCTCTCCTTATGGGGTCAGCGCGCCATTTTCTTCTCCTTCCAAGTGAATTTCTCTTCTTTAACGACGACCCACTTTTTTTGGTTTTTTCTTGGCCCGAAACCACTGAGTTTTCCTTTCCAATCAACCCACCTTTACTACCCATTTTATTAGGTT